CCCTTCCCCCTCCCAGCATTGTGCCTACATATGCGAATTACCCGCCATCTTTGTTGGCAGTTACCCGCCATCTTGGTTTGTTTGGCTGTTAATTTGCATATCCCCCTGACTAGCCAATGGGAAGGGTAGTGGTCATATGCTAATTACCATGTTTCTTTTTTATTAGATAGGATATATTTTAAATATGGAACGCTTCACGAATTTGTCATCCTTGCGCAGAGGCCATGCTAATGTTCTCTGTATCGTTCCAATTTTAGTATATGTGCTGCCGAAGCGAGCACGGATACAATTATATTTTAATCTACATGACTATTGGAAAGATATTGAGAATCCCTTCATATGATGATAGGTTTTTTTGGCTATCTGCCTATTTGTGGCTTTTGCCCTTTGTTCTTGTTGAACTGTAAATCTTAACTAATGATAGGTAAAACTCTATGACAAGGGAATTCGATTTTTTTAGAGACAGACTGGCAGGGAGAGAGAGGGAGTGAGAGAGGAAGAGAGATTGAGATTTGTTGTTCCATTTGTTTATTCATTTGTTGATTCTTGTATGTGCCCTGACCGAGGATCAACCTGCAACCTTGGTGTATCGGGATGATGCTCTAACCAACAGAGCTACCTGGCCAGGACCTCATAAGTTTTAATGTAGTTACACTTATATTTTAAATCTTCTAAGTTGAAAGGTTTTTCCACTTCTAGATTATAAAAATATTCTATTATTGTTTTTATTGTAAATTTTTAAATTTTTGTACAATCTACATGAAGTATATTCAATGAATTCTACATATGAATACACCTGTGTAACCATCATTTAAATAAAGATAAAAGATATTTATAGTTCCATTTTTACATTTATACTTCTGCTTTGGTGAGTTTTAGGTTAGTGTGCAGTGTGAGGTAGGGATATAGATTTCTTTTCCCTCAGATGGCAAACCAGGAGTCTGAATACTCACACTCAGAGAACACAGTAACATTCCTGAAAGCTGCTGCTTTTCTCAGCCTTTTTTGGGAGGCAGAGTCCTCTGAGAATCTGATGAAAGTTCTGGACCTTTTCCCTTGAAAAATGAATACACAGGTATGCAAAATTTTAGGTTAAAAAACTCTTGTTTCATGGGCTTAATTTTTTCTCCTTTGCAGGAAATTTGTGTTTTTCAACATACCTCAAATCCAATACAAAAACCCTTGGGTGCAGATCATGATGTTTAAGAACATGACACCATCACCCTTCCTTCGATTCTATTTAGGTGAGTAAGGGGGCCTCTGATGGGCTCCAGGACTGTTTCCTCCCATCCGTCCTTCCTTTCATAGCAGTCAGGTGACCTGAGGTACAAGCTCTTGTGAACTAACATTGCTCCTGTCACCTTGGCTTCAATGGCCATTGAGATCTGGGTGCCTTTTCCCTCTCCTTTGCCAGACTTGTTTCCTGTTGCCTTCATATGTCTCACACCACCCAGACTAATTTTTCAAAATTCCCTTGCCACACCTTTGTTTATACCTTTGTTCATGTCATCCCTCTGATGAAATCCCCTTTCTACTTTCTTTGCTTATTTAATTAAAAAAATAATCCTTTAAGACTCATCTTGGGCACCACTTCTCCCAGGAAACCTTCCCTCTCCTGTCTCCCAAAGCCCCTCTTAGGCTGGCCACATTCTCTTGAAAAGTTTATGTCTGTGTGTGTCCACCTGGGACCAAGTGAACTTTAATTCAGTTAAATATGGCTTAGTAGCCAGAAGTCAGAACACCAGATATTTTGGTCCAGCTCTCAGTCATTCTGACCCTGAGCAAGAAACATTCCCATTGCTTTATTTCTTAAGTAAAGGCATAACATCTACCTTACATGGTTAAGAGAATCAAATGAAGTCTAGACTGGGAAATGCTTTGGGGAACAAAATAATGTTCTTCCCATTTTATTTCTGGCCCCAAATGGCCAGATTATTTAGCAAATATGCTAGGTACCCAGGTACTGTTCTAGGTACTTGGGTGTCAGGGAGCCATACAAAGATCTCTGCCCTTGTAGAGATAATACTCTAGCAGGAGAGAGAACAAAAAACTTAACAAGACAGTATGCTAGAAGGGAAGTGTGATGAAAAAAAATAGAGCAAGCTAAGTAGGTGAAGAGAGTAGGGGTGGTATGACAATTTTGTGTATATATTGTTTGCATTGAAAAAAATTTATTGAGGTATAATTTACTCATAATAAATGCACAGGTTTAATGTGTATAGATTGATGAGTTCCTACAGTTGTGTTATGTCACCACTTAACCAATGAAGATGAATACTTATTTTTATTGATTAAAAAAATATATATGTACTTGTTATCAACTGAGGATATTTTTTAGAGTGGAATGGAGCGGGAGAGACAGACAGCAACATTGATGTGAGAGAGACACATCGATTGGTTGCCTCCTGGACATTCCAGGACTGGCTCATGGGATCGAGCCTGCAACTGAGGTACATGCCCTTGACCAGAATCCAACCCACGACCCTTCAGTTCGTGGGCCGATGCTCTAAACACTGAGCAAACCAGCCAGTGTTTTAAATATATTTTTATTGATTTCAGAGAGGAAGCGGGGGGGAGAGAAAAACGTGATTGATCAGCTGCCTCCTGTACACCCCCTACTGGGGACCGAACCCAAAACCCGGGCATGTGCTCTGACTGGAAATCGAACTGGGACCTCCTGGTTCATAGGTCGATGCTCAACCATTGAGCCACACCGGCTGGGCTATTTTTATTGATTTTAAATTTTTTACTTTTATTTTGAGAGAGACAGAAAGAAAAACATCGATTGGTTGCTTCTTGCATGCGCCCCTACCAGAGATTGAACTAGCAACCTAGGTATGTGCCCTGTCCAGGAATCGAACCTATACCTTCTGGTATACAGGATGATGCTCCATCCAACTGAACCACTCTGGCCAGGGCTGAAGAACATTTCTATTACTCCAGAAAGTTCTCTAGTGCTACTTTCAAGTTAATTCCCCATTCCACCAGAAGCAACCACTGTTATGATTTCTTTCACCATAGTTTATTATTGTTTCAGAATTTCATATAAATAGAATCTCACAGTATGTACTTTGTGCCTGGCTTTTACTCATGTTTTTGTGACTTATCCATGTTATATGTATCAGTAGTTAATTCATTTTTATTGCTAAGTAGTATTCCATTATAGGAATATACCAGTTTATTTATCCATTCACCTGTTGATGAACACCTGAGTTTTTATTAGCTACCAAGACAGAAATGTGAGATTTATTAGAGATAAGAGAGGGGTAGGTAGGGAAAATCTTCATATGGCAAAGCAGGTCTGACATCTCGAAAAGGAAAGGGAAAAGGAAGGCTGTCTGGACAGGAGGCACCTAAGATGGTGGTGGAGCTCTTAGGAAGTCTGGGCCGGCCCCAGGAGCGGAGATGGCTAGATCCTAGACCTAGGCCAAGGAGAGCCTGGGCGTGGCTCTGGTGGGTTCCAGAAACAGCAGCTGGCTCTCAGCTGGCTGCTCCTTGCAGGAGGGCTTCCTCAAAGGAAGTTTTGAGTGGTGCGCCTCCCTGGCTGTGAAGGGTTGTTCCAGGTTTTGGCTAAGATAAGGTGCTTGTAGTATCTTCTCACACAAGTTGTTTTTGTGGACCCAGGCGCTCACCTCTTCAGAGCCACTGCCTCATGCTGAAGAGATGTGTGATGTTCTTAGAAACTGCCTAATAGGTTTCCAAAATGATTGAGCCATCTCACCTCCAGGCAGTAGTTTGATCACATGGACCTTAAAATCAGAGAACCTCTCTGGCTGTAATCAGAGGTCCATGTGACTATGAAGAATGGCCAGATATAAAACATTGCTGGCTTTGAAGACTGAGGAAGGGGTCATAACCAAAGAATGTGGTTGTGATTCCACTCATATGTAATGTTAGAACAGGCAAGTCCATAGAGAAAAGATAGTGTTTGCCAGGGGATGGGATTGGGGTGGTGTGGGGTATAGGACATGATTGTTTAATTGGCAAAAGAGCTTCTGTTTGGGGTGATGAGAAAGTTCTGGAACTAAATAATGGTGATAGTTTTACATTAGTTTTACATTTTGAATGTACCAAAACCCACCAAACTATACACTTTAAAATGGTTAAAATGGTGATTTTTATGTCATGTATTTTACCATATACAAAAGAATTTTGGCCATTCATATGGGTTTTAATTGAAATTTTAATTTGCATTTTCTCACAACTTTTTGTTATTAGCTATTCAAATATCTGTTTTGTAAAGAGTATAATTGTATCTTTTGTCCATTTAAAAATTTTCTGAATTCTCATCCTCTTTCACTGACCTATGTCTGTCCTTACATTAGTGCAGTACTAATATCGCACACCTTGGTTTTTGTAGTTTTTTAAGTGTTCAGATCAGGTAGCATAAGTCCAACTTTGTGCTTTTGCTCCCCACTCCCTTTGGCTAGTCTGGGTTCTTTGCATTTACATGTAAACTTTAAAATTGGGCAAGTTTCTGGAAAAAAGCTTGTTGGGATTTTGATTGGAATTACATTATAGATCATTTTGAGGCGTATGGATATTTTAACAATATTGAATTGAGTATGTTTTGTGCCTATTGTAAATGGTATTTTTAAATACCATATTTCATTTCACAGTTTTTTGGTTAGTATAGTTGATTTTTGTTGTTGTTGTTAATCCTTACCCGGGGATATTTTTCCATTGACTTTTAGAGAGAGTGGAAGGGAGGGGGAGATAGAAACATTGATTGGTTGCCTCCCATACGCATCCTGACCAGGGCTCAGGATCGAGCCTGCAACGGCGTATATGCACTTGACCAGAATTGAACCTGGGACCCTTCAGTCCGTGGGCCGCCAAACGGGCTAGGGCTAATTGATTTTTGTATATGGAATGTGTCTTGCGACCTTGCTTATAAACACATTATAGTTTATTTTCTAAATTCCTTAGAATTTTCTACATACACCATCGTGTCATCTGCAAATGCAGTTTTATTTCTTCCTTATCAATCTTTTTTCTTTTTTTGTCTTAATTCATTGGCTCAATTGGCTGTAATGTTTTGCATTTTTACCAGTAATGTAAGAAAGGTTCCATTACTCTGCACCCTTACTAGTACTTAGTATTGCCCATTTAAAAAATTTTTAGCCACTCTTAATAGCTCATTGTTATGACTAATGACTAATTTTGGTTAAATGTTTATTCACATATTTTGTCCATTTTTTAGTTGGATTGTCTTGAGTTTTGAGTTCTTTATATAGTTGACATACAAGTCTTATCAGATATATGCATTCTGTACATTATCTCCCAGTCTATTGCTTATGGTGCCTTTTGCAGAACAAAATTTTTGGATTTTAAATTCAGTGTATTAGGTTTTTTCGATAATCATGTTTTTGATGGCATATTTTTGCTTAGGTTCTAAAGATTTTCAAGAAGTTGTAGGTCACTGGTCCATTTTGAGTATTTTGTTTCTTTTTTTAGTGTTGGGAGTAAAAGTCTAAATTCATTTATTTGCATGTGGCTATCCAATTGTCCCAGCACCATTTGTTTAAAGGACGATCTTTCCTCACTGAATTGTTTTGGCATCTTTGCTGAAAATAAATTGACCATAAATATAAAGGTTTATTTCTGGACTTAATTCTGTTCTATCACTCTGTAGTCTGTTTTTGACTTGATTACTGTAGCTTATAGTAAATTCGAAATTGGAAAATGAATGTCCTTCCTCCATTGTCTTTTCAAAATTGTTTTGCATGAATTTTAGGCTAAATTTATCAGTTTCTACACAAACACCCGCTGGGATTTTGATAGGGATTGCATTGAATCTATAGACCAGTTTGGGGAGGATTGCCATGTTAATGACATTGAATCTTTCTATCCATGAACATGGAATTTTTCTATTAAAGTAGTATGTTTTTGTACATACCTAAAATTTATATCTGCTCATGTATAAAGAAATATCGGAAAATAAATGGTAGTATATAATGGGTTATGTAAACAAATATATTTACTTTATTGTTAAAATATTCCTCCTTAGCAAACAGCAAATCACCGTTTGAGGCTGCGGAACGCTCTTCTGAGTTCTCAGCCACACCCCCTTTGCTTTCTGTTTTCAGATACTGGTGAGCAGGTTCTCGTGGATGTAGAGACCAAGAGCAATAAAGAGATCATGGAGCACATCAAAAAAATCCTGGGGAAGAATGAGTGAGTTGCTGGGGTTGACCTGGAGGGGAGCGGAGGTCTTAGCTCAGAGATTTTGAGAGAGGAAAGGGACAGGTTCTCTGACTGTGACCAAGACACTCACCAGAGTGTGGGCTGGAGAGTCCATTCCATCTGACTTGGTTGCTCACCAAATGTGTAACAGTAAGTCATCCATCCCTCCTGGTCAGTGGGAAGCTGAGATGCAACTAAAATACTTGCACTGTGTGGCCAGAAACATACCGGTTTGGAGATGGTAGGTGACCAACCCTGGGGCCTGCCGTGACACATCCCTTTTCTCTCCATGGAGGAAAGAAGGGAAGGGAAGGACGCGGAATATCTTTGAGAAGGCACCTGGAGGCATTTCCAGGCCCCTTTATTCTGATGGTCTCATTTGTCAGAAATGGGGCTGCCCCTCAGCTGTCTGAGGGCTGACTGTTCCTGTGCTGGCCTGGCCTGAGTGTGCTTTCCAGGTGCCTCCTACCCTGGGCCTGACACTGCTCACACACTGAAGGCCTCCCTGTGGAGGGCAGGGATAGGTCTGAGGAGTGAGAAGTGAGTGAGGAGACACAGGAGAGCCAAGTCTCCCGGCTGAGGATGGCGCCCACGCCGAGAAGTTCTGTGCTTCGCAGAGGCTCAGGGCACTGTTGCCAACACCTTGTTGCTGTCTGTGCTCTTTGGCAGGGAGACCCTCAAGCAAGAAGAGCAGGAGAAAAAGCAGCTTTCTCATCCAGCCCACTTTGGACCTCGAAAGTATTGCCTGCGGGAGTGCATCTGTGAGGTGGAAGGGCAGGTGCCCTGCCCGGCCCTGGTGCCCTTACCCAAGGAGATGACAGGGAAGTACAAAGCAACTCTGAAAGCCAGTGCCCAGGACTAAGGCCCCAGGCCTGTGGGCGAGGGTTACCTTGGCCACAGGGAGATCCTGGTTCTGTCCCCAGAGACTCTGCCAATAAAATGCTCCTTAATCATCCAGCAGCATGGTGTGTATCCAGTCTGCGAGGCACAGGAGGAAGGCCTGCAGGGGAACAGGACTTTTGGATCAGGAAGGTGTAGGGCCACAGCCTGCTGACATCTTGGTCTTGAGGCCTTTTCCTTGTCTCCACTGATTTCGACTCCTTCCAGATCCTACTCTGAAAATTCAGTTGAGTCTGGTTGGAGCTAGTTGTGGCTGGCAGTGTGGATGTTCCCTCCATGCAGGCTCTCTGGGCATCTTTCACAAATCCCGGGGCAAACCTTTGTGCAGTGCTCACTTTTAAATTAAAGCCAGCTGACCTTTTCCTCCTGAGGGACCTGGCTGTGGAAGCTGCCTGTTCACCTTCTTACTGTTCAGTTTTTTTTGTTTTTTAAAAAATATATTATTTTTTTACAGAGAGGAAGGGAGGGATAGAGAGTTAGAAACATCGATGAGAGAAACGATCAGCTGCCTCCTGCACACCCCCTACTGGGGATGTACCCGCAACCGAGGTACATGCCCTTGACCAGAATCGAACCTGGGACCCTTCAGTCCGCAGGCTGACGCTCTGTCCACTGAGCCAAACAGATTAGGGCACTTGTTCAGTTCTTGAGTTAAAGTTTGGAAGAGGGTGTGAGGTGTTACTTAGTAGTTCTGCCTAATAGTCCTTTCCTCCTTAGGACATGGATATTGCTGCTACTTGAGTTTTGCTGGTTTTAGCGCTTAGGAGACACCAAAGCCCTCTAGGGTCAGTTTAAGAATAGGTTTACTTAATCAAAAGTAAAGGACCAGCTGGAAACAGACCGGTGGAAACACAGACCAGGAGACTTTGACCAATGGATGCAAGCAAGAAAGTGGGCTTATGGGGGGATGAGGACACATTTGTAATACCTTAACCAATAAAGAAATTAAAGATTAAAAAAAAAAGGTGGGTTTACAAGAGCAGGTTTAAGGTCTGAGTTCCTCTCTGATGGAAGCTTTGGTCAAGGCATAACACTTGCTGTAAAATGGGAATAAGGGCATTACTCCATGAGGTAAGTTAGTTATGGGAAATGAATGTGAAATTAAAATGTGTGTTTTGTTGTTAATCCTCACCCAAGGATATTTTTTCCCCCATTGATTTTTAGAGAGTGGAAGGGAAGGGGGAGAGAGGAACATCGATGTGAGAGAGACACATCGATTGGTTGCCTCCCACATGTTCCCCAACTGGCCGGGTATCCAGCCTGCAACGCAGGTCATGCCCTTGACCAGAATCAAACCCGGGACCTTTCAGCACACAGCTGTTACTCTTTCCACTGAGCCAAACTGGAAAGGGTAGAATGTATTTTATTTGAATGTTGGGAGATTATCCCATTAAATTGAGAAACCTGGCTCTTTTTACATTTGATGCTCAAGTTATAGTTTCCAGTGGTTTTGCACCAGACCTGTGTTCAGAGTGATAGCCTTGGAGGGATTAAGAAGGGGAGGTCTGTTTGGGTCTAATGTGTAACTGGCAGGTTTACTTCAATTTTGTTTGTTTAATTGAAATTCAGAATCTTGGTGACCTCTCCCCATCACCATTTTGAAGGGTGGCTAGAAAAATTTATCCTCCATTCTAATCCCTAGTTTCAATTCCTGCAGTGTTTCTAACAATCCCACCAGCTGACTGCAGCATGGCCTTCACACCAGCTGATTGGACTTCCTACGGGGCCTCCAAGCCTTTTCCGAGAGTTTGTTCCTTTTGGTCTGTCTCCACAGCTGGTGAGACAAAGGGCCTTAGGGAAGTATTCCTTCCCTGCTTGGTCCACAGGGCCCAGGAAGGTAGCTAGCCAGGACTGCCCCAAACCAAGCTAGTGACCCTTCTTTAGAAAGAGAATAAATGTCCAGTGCTTGATGGGAAAGCACCACCATTACTGTTTTTTCATGGGCTATTTCATAGACAGATAATGATTCATGAAACAAACACCACTAGGGGGCATTATCTCTTTAAACAGTTATCTTCCATTTCCTACTTCAACAATGATAAAAGATTTTAAAATGTACAGAAATGGGAGGAACTTATTGGAGATGATTGCTATGAGGATTTTTTATAATTCATCTAGTTTCTTAATTTTATTCACATAACCAATGCTCGCCAGATGGTTTTCAACCTTGTTCTGCTGAAGTGACCAATTTCCTTTTCCTTTTGAAAGCTATTTGGCTGCCAGTGGGTTCTGCCAAGAATCTTGACTTTGGACCTCCGAATCCTCACTTGTAAAATGAGTCAGATGACTTCTGAAACTTTAAGAATATGTCTGCTCTGGTCCGAGACCTGGCTCTGTGTCTGTGATGACAGTCTGTGAGTTTTGGCAACCCAAGTCCTGTTCCAGAAACAAGTCCAGTGAGCCATCAATGGATGGGGCTAAGTCGCTTTTGGCTAAGGTGAGGTGAGAGCTACAGGGTTCTGACTACAGTGGGGCCTTGACTTACGAGCGTCCCGACTAACGAGTTTTTTGAGATACCAGCTGTCTCTCGGCCGAGTTTTTGCATTGATTTGACAGTAATTTGAGTGAACAAGCTTGGTCTTGGAACAAATTAAACTTGTAAGTCAAGGCCCCACTGTACTAAGGCGCGTCCTCACCACCTACTCGGTGTTTAGGTGAGAGTGCTCTGGAGACTCCTGGTGGTCAGGCATTATTGTTATTACTGTTGTGAGGAGAAAGGATAAACAAGATGCACATTAGTCTTTAATTAACTTTTAATAGTATAAACCTCATTTAGGTAGTAGTATTAAGCCACAACAATGCCACATTGAAACAGCATTTAATAAAATGCATAAAGCTAATTCATGCACTGCAATACTCTATATACAAACACAACAATGCAAATTCTTCTTCAAGACTGAAGACATTGATTAGATATAAAATTCAATTAAAAAAGAACATGCTATTTTAAATGCCATCACATAAAGCTGATTTCAAGCTACAGCTTTTAACAGGTTTTAAACCTGGAATTGAAATGTAATGGCATAAACAATATTTTCTATATTGAGAAGGGCAGAGGGTACAGAAACGGTCCCAAGAAAATCTAACACCCAAGTTTTCCTTTAATGTCTTTTATAAGGGCTGGTAATACTTAGCTACATTTTAACAGTTCCAAACTACAGGTAAAAACTATGGTTTGTACTATGAAAAATGTGCAGCTTTTCAGTTATAAAACTAGTTGAACACTGGTTTATAAGATAATTGGGGGGATATAGAAAAATATTCCAGCACTTGAGTTGTACGTGGCAGCAGCAATTGAGTCCATGAATGCTCTTGTTAAAATGACAACTGATTATACTTTCTTAAAGAAAAGCCATTTATTTCTCATGTAAAGTCTATTTCCAAATGTTATCCAAATATTAAGCTTTACCACAACCTGACAATTGATAAATGTTGCTGAGCATTTTTTCAGCATTTTTATAGCACTTTCTTTTTCTATTATGTATAGTATACATTTTGAAACACCAAAATTATTGGCTTAATCGAAAGTATAGCTGGGCATTAAAAATATCTCAGACTTTCCCTTTAAACTGTTTAGTTTTAGATTGCTGCTAATAGCCCCAAATGAAAAGTTTTATTTTAAAGATTCACTTAGAGACTGTCAAGCTTCCATTTGTATTATTCGAATTGGAAAGCTACCTTCAATAGTGATTGTCACGACAGGCAAGGACATGGGAAAGGTGACAATCACTGCTGGGCGGCCAGTGAAGCAACAGGAGCTTTACATCACAGATGGGGAAGCTGGAGGCTGAATGGCCCAGTCTCACAAAAGGCACTGAGTACTATGGTCTCAATGAAGTGTTTTCAAACATTTCAATAGATTAAAAAAAAACCCACCACCACCACCTGTGGATTATGTTTTTGCAGTTATCCAGCGATCTCTTTCAGCAGGCCAGCTTTCAGCCTTCCCATCAGTCAGGCCCCTGTGCTTACCAGGTCCATGAGCAACTACAGCTGGGCTGGGGCCTGGCTCCCGAGCGCTGTGTTCCAGTTAAAGTCCGATTTAGGGGGGAAATTCACCAGAGTAGAGCTGGACATTTGGCATCTGTAGCTTTAACGGCATGCATATCCATATTAAAATGCAATTTTTATCTGAGATTTTAAAATCATAATTTAGAGAAAGTCAGTGGATTTCATTTGCATGCTATAGTTGGAGAAGTAATTTAAGATTTGTAACTTATGCCATAAAGTTAGCCATCAACAATTATGCTTATTTTTAAAGAATACTTGGTCGGTTGTCTCCCCCCCACAACTTGCGTTAGATGGGAATTTGTTTAGCCACAGTGCAGGGCCCACTGTCTGCTGACTGAGTCCAGAGCAAGTGGGGAAAATTGGGAGCTAGGCCCCATGACACAGACCATTCTGAAACTGATCACATGACAAGGAGTCCAGGGAAGGCCCACAGCTTGACCTACCAAATTCCTTCCAGTTAGGCCATAAAGAGGTGTGTGACAGCTAGGTTAAAGATCCCCACTTAGTTTCTGGACGTTAGGATAAACTGTCTTCCAGCTTCCTAGCCATTGTCTCACACTAGAGAATACATAGCAATGTCATTGTTAGGACCTTTCTGTCTGGAACTTTCCCTGGTACAAAGTGAACATTTTAACTTCATGGCCTTCCTCAGCCAGACACACCCAAAGGAAAATGGAGTTAAAATCTTGGCAAATCCATCCTGCTGAGGGATCTTGGAGTACCCACATCAATTTAGTAACTCTTATCATAGATTCTCTTTAAAACAAGGAGAGTTTGGATACGTGGCTACATGTCTGTATACATAATATACACCTATGTACACATACACACTATATATATACACTGTACATATATAGAAGATATAAACACATGTACATTCATTTAGTCATACAAGTCGGTAATCTGTACACGCACAATGTGCTGAGGGGAGCTCAGGGCTAGACACACAGTTGTGCCACACTGGTGGGAGGCACATGGGGAGATCCAAAGCCCTGTGTACAAGAGATCCAAACCCACTCTGTCTTCAATTACAAATTCACATCAAAG